AGTAAAGCATGCCTATCCTACCTTTTCATACATGGGTGGATCATCATCTGTTATTTATTTATACATTTATTTATTATTTTGTTTTCTTTTTTCCTTTTCTTTTTTTTTTTTTTTTTTTTTTTTTTTTTTTTTTTGTAACCAATAATATATGTCATAAATTATTTATACTATCATACGAGGGCTGGCTCATGTCATCTTCTGTCATGTCTTTATTAGTAAAAACAGTCTGCTTGCACTTTGCGCACTTATCCCTCAATAATCGCCGCAGTTGATCAGAATGTAATTAAGTTGCTGCATATTTTGTTTGCGAAATTTCATTTCATTTCATTTCGTTTATGAGAAATGTGTAAATGTCGTTGAAAAAGAAATTCAATTGATTTTATGATAAAAAAAAAAAAGAAGAAAGCATTTCTTCCTTATCATCTTCTACTAGCTTTTCTACTTGGGACTAAAATGCGATTCAAAGTGAGAGAAGCAGTGGTGACTTGTAGAAAATGTTCGACGTAATAAAGAACAAGAGAAGCAGACATGACAATTATACGATGATACTGGGGGGGGATTGTTGAAAAAGTCAGGCTTCTTAAATATGAAGAAGAAACTAATTCCCATAATTCGATACGATATTAATGACCTACATATGTCTTCCTTATCAAGTTTGTTATCTTAAACGCAAAGTCATAAATCAAGTTTTCCCTGTGAAGCTCTTCATGTGTGTAAGTGAAAGGTACGCGGAAAACGAAAAGATACAAGAGGCAGTTTCTGTTTTGCCTTCCGGATAGCTAGATGATAAGTAACTGTGGCATTAATAACATTGGGGCGTTGAACAGTGCAATTTTCAATTCATATTTGTGCTAGTGTTGCAAAAGTTAAGAAATAAATTTTGTTCCTTTCAATTTTTTAGTTTATGTCGCAGAGTTTTCAGGTCAACTTTTTCAAAGTACCTCTCCATGTTTATGGGCGCGACAATGGGGACTTTTGAAACTTCTTCCCGTAAGGCATACGTTTACCACATTTTCGCTCAATATTTTTTACGAATTGCTGTTTATAGTCTTTTGCTAATTGCTATGGATTTTGTAAATTGCTGCGATATTAACCATATTGCGCTGGTATTACGTTCTACTTTCGAACATAGTTCCTCTCTCTCGCCAATTAGCAGTATGTGATCAAAAGATAACAAAACTTCCATTTCAATTTCAATTCGTTTCTTCGATAAACTGCCTCCTGCCTGTCATCTTTGCATGCTACTCTTTTCAGATGAAGAGATAAGTTCGTTTATTTTCGCCTAAAGAAGGCGACCTTTAATCCAATCAGCACGACGTGTCCGGAGTAGATTGAATTTCACGAGTACACATACAGCTAAATTAAGCAAAAAGAGTGATTGGGAAACGATGTGAATTGAATATGTGCTGAAAGTCTCGAAGGACTAAGGCAATAGAAAGAAGGCTACAAAAATCAAACGTTCTTTGACGATAATTCTAGTGAATCGCTTCACGCAAACTATTACATATAAGTCGAGAAAAGCCAGACCCCTTAGCCGGTTGTCCTGATCATAATAAGCCAAGTTTCACCTTTCTATCCTTTCTAACCGTGCATCCGTGACTTTTGTAGCAGCATATACATGCGAGCAGGTGAATATACTTACAATCAAGACTCACACGTATTCCCTGCTTTTTACAAGAAAATGCAGTGTACATCGATTTAACGATGCCGATGGTTGGAAAAGCTTTAATTTCTTTATCTGATTACATATATTAAAAATAGATTCAGTATCACGGGCGCGTCACGACACTCTGAACTATCACCTGAGAAACATAAGTATCTCTGATTGGTTGGTTCGCATAGAGTCTGTCAACCGACGAGTGGGACGTTGTCCCCTTATAACTTATGCGAGTGCGAGGCGATTTGCAGAAAGAAGGTAGCGCGAGACTTATAAAAATCTTAACACTGGACGGTTGGGAGCTTGGGCGAATACAATAGATCTTTTAAGTCGCGATACAGTCTGTCCGCACAATACCCAATAGTAATGATAAAAACATATGTACATATCTGTTCGTCTATCACAAACGGAATAATGAACTTATCATATTCCTGCATTCTTTATATGTGGAGAGAAAAATGTTCATTCTTTATAACGTGTTCTAATGCAATTTATAAGTTACGATTAAAGCGATTACGATTAGTTTATATTAGAGTGAAAAGAAATTCATAATAGCGATATCGTTCTTTATTTTCTATCGGAATTAGTTTTGAAAGCGTTTTCGTCCTTAGTCGACGGTAAATTGTCATGTGCTAAACACATTTGTTGTTTGCAAGCAACGTTATTATTATTATTATTAAAAAGCCAAGTAAAAAGTTGTTGCATACCATCATCATACTCTAGTATTGTTACTATAGCAACTTAATAATAATAAAGTATTTTGCTATTATACCCGGAATTCAAAAAATTAACAGCTGAAGGGAGAATTACTATCGATTACGCCCTTCTGAGAAAATTTTTTAAGTAAATAAATTTAATTTACAAAATTTGAAAATGTTTTAATTAATTCCCTTAGCCCTAAATGTTTTAACCGAAGAAAATGCCATCTTGCAGGTTTCTTCGAAATGTGTTTTCAGAAATTGTAAATAAAGGAACAAAGATTTTTCTCGGAAAATATTAAAAAAAAAATCAATTTTTTTATAGAAAATTTTCTAGCCCTTTTTTTCACTAAAAGCTATGGAGTCTAGAAGAAAAAATCTCACGTTTCTTTTTCTAAGAATAATTCTTTGCAAATTCATGGCCTAAAAAAGCTTAGAATTATAATAATTTCATGTGATTTTGCGTTATATAGAATACTTGCACAAACAACAACAACAAATTGCAAGACAAATATATGTCGTTGAATTGCTACAAGTTTAAAAATACTTGATATACTTGAGGTGTCGTTCGTTTAACAACATTTTTCCAGAAAATCCGCACAAATAATAACTAATGCGAAATATTGCATCTCGTAGATGATGGAACTCGTTTATCGGCCGCTTTTTGTATTTTAAGGAGACATACCTCGAAAAGGAGGTAGACTTGAATTCGAAAAATTCAGAGATAATTTTCTGTTCGTATGGTATGGTGACAGTCAGAAAGAAATGAGTAGAAAAAAGAGCAGATAAGGAAAGGACCGGTGTAGCCCGGCGATGGGCGTATGCCTAATCAAGTAAGTTTTATGCCTTTACCGTTTGAGCGCACTCCACCACACAGTTGGGCATCCGGATTCGCGAACACTGATTTATTGATCGCGCGATTCTTACTTACACGCCTGCTCACGCTGATGTAAGCACAGAAAGGACGTTCAGGGAAATTTAATTCATACGCAATATAGTTTTCGTTAAATTTGGTTCCACATTAACACCTGTCCGGCGAAACAAAAGCTCGACGTTTTTCTCATCAGATAGCTTTCGAATCGCGTTACGTGGACAATAGCAAAATTAAAAAGAAAATATCCTGACATCTCTTGAGTTGAAATTAATCGAACTTGATGAATTGCGCGAAAACTTTGTATAAACTATATAATGTTGCATTAGGCAAGGCGATAGCGCTGGCAACGCTTGCGAAAAAAATTCACGGTATCTATCGCTATCGAAACAGTCAGCTTCCAAGTAGTTTTCACGTTGCTAACCACACGATTTGCTTAAGCTTTCTAATGCCAGCTGAAGTGATTATAACACGCAATAGGGAAAGGCGTCGTTGTCATCCCTCCCGAAAATGCTAAACCACACCTATGAGAAAATTATTTAATAACGACACGTTTTTTTAAATCTTTATTTTAAACGTCGACTGACGCCGTCAGACTAAAGCTCTACATATGTCTTCACACAACGGCAGTTCCATTAAAAAACACTCGCCTTTACGAACTTGGCTGACCGTTTACAATAAGGTTATACTTTCCGATTGCTGGGATCACACGAAAGTTTAAAAAGAAAAAATGAAAAGCAAAAAAAGGGAACAGAAGACGATCGGACAAACGTGGCTAAATATTGCACTCACACTATGGGGTGAATCGGCATGTATATGGCGGTATTCCCCTTTTCCTTCGGCACTAGCTACAAAAACGGATAATGACTTACGCGCAATATCTAAAGGATTGGTGAATAACTTTATAAGTAAATAGCAGACCGCAGTAAGAGGCAGAGGGAGCAAAGGGTACACATTTTCGATCTGGAAACTAAGCTTTCATCTGCAAATGAACGTAACTGTCTTCTGGATGGAGATGGAAAAACTCCATGCAAAAAGGGGAAGGTTAAAACTTGCCGTAGGAGAGAGTACATGATAGGTGTATGCTTTTTGAGCGCGACTATCGCAAGGATGTCAATGAGGTTACGCTATTGAAATTTTGGATAATCGATGCCATAAAAAAATATTGTGTGAATTCACCAAAAGCCAATCGAAATTTTGTGTGTTCGCTCAATGCCCCGAAGTAAACAGAACCGATTGACACCGTATAGCGGCTTGGTTTTCTTTTTTAATCTCTCTAGACTCTAAGAGCGAAATGTTTGCCTATTCGTTAAAATATTCTGCCGACTCGAGGCCCAAACAAAATACTTTTGTATAATTATTTTCTCAAAGACACGTTCGTCACGCTTCCTAACCGTGCAAATTCTTAAAAAGAATCCGAAGAAGATTGTTTAGCATAAAATAAATGATTTTTACGAGAGTAATAAGCGAGTGTCATCTCTTTGAAAACTCCAGTACTACCGTATACTTTTTGGACGCTTCTTAAGATTTTTCTATTCTTTAGAAAAGGGAAAGAAGAGCTTGGAAGAAAAATACTCTCGGTCACTACTCTACTCTATAAATAAATAAAATATAATTTACATCTATTCGCATAAATCTTACTTGTTGGTCTCGTTTCATGGCGATAATATTGTAATTTCACGCTTTCTCTTTACAGATAACTTCATAATAAGAAATAGTTAACAATAAAACAGTCAGGTAAGTGGATGAATGAAAAAATCAGAAATTAGTTTACCTCGTTCTTGTATTGCCGCGGGCGTTAGAGAGCATACCGGAAATAATTGAGCCTGCAAAAATTGAACACGACCACCGCCAGCATTCAAGTCCATTTTCTCTTACATTTTAGAACAAGTTTTCATTTTTATTTTAATTTTCATTTCTTTCGTTTTTTCAATCAAAATTCTTACTTAAAATCACTGTGTAATTATTTTCGCCAAGAAAATCCTTAAAAGTTTTCATTTTTATTTTTTCCTTTTTCATTTTTTCTTTTTTATTTTTTTTTTTTTATTTACTTTTTAATTTTTGATCCTTTTTTTTTGCCTCTTGTTATTTCAGACTTTTTCTCACTTTCTTCTATTCTACAATTATGTTTGCATATTGGCTTCTAAGACCTGTTTTGAAAAAAATTTTACACAAAGTATCGTTTGAAGGCAACGAAAGAAATGTAAAAAATAACATCAAGAAAAAAAAGGGAAACCTATTAAAATTGTAAAAAAAAAAAAATTCTTAATATCCGGTTCAACTTTTCAACCGGATTACACATTTTATAATCACTGCACTCGAGAGTTGACAATGAAAGTGACGATATTATAACGATAATGTAGATGACAACCACGACGACGACTGCAGTGTTGTCGATGGCTAGTTTCGAAAAGTTATTTATGTTTTTAAAATAACTTTTTTTTGTTATTTTATGCAAAACACTCTTATATATCGATATACAAGGCAAACTCACAATAATTCACTTTGTCAAAGCGAAGTGCCTCTTATTGATAACAACAAATGCCATCGAAAATACTATCGAATACTAAACCAGCATTTCCGTCTGATTCATCAAACATGCACTCGAAACATGAACGGCATACCGATATATACAAACATATTTCAAATGAAATTCGTAAATATAAGGAACAAAAAATATCAAAAAAGAAGAAAACCAAGGAAATTCCTTGGTTACCCTTTACCTATTATTATACAAATTTTGTTTGATAGGTTACTGTACTGGAAACTAGCTACCCGCAAACAACAAATACACAATCCCATCCACACGAATATGTACAATGAAATTATATGATGATTGTAATTTTTTATACAAGTTGATCATTAAATCATTAAACTTAAAAAGGAATTCTGTGAGTGACTGAGACGATTTCGATAGCAGGAAGCCCTTCAACGTATTGAGATACACTTATAAATCATTTCGTTGCACGATTGACGACTATTGCAAATATTTGCATACATGAAAAAATTTGGTGACTTTTTCGTCTTCTTCTTTTTTGTAAAATCATTTTCATCAAAGCTATCCTCTTTCTTGCTCCATTCGTCAACTTCAGTTAACTTCAGTTAATTCTTTAGACAGACAAAAAAGAATGCAACATCCTTACCGTAATATCAAATACGAACAACTGCGTTCTTAAATATCTTATAGTAGGATCCTTTGATTACCACTAGGCAGCTTTAATGCAGTGAAACTGCACAATATTGACTTAACTGAGGTCATGTAAATTCTACATTTAGAACAAGGGCTTTTAGAACTTTAGCTTCACACAAAAGATTCTTTCCGCGGATGCCGACGGGAAGCATTTGTACTTGATAACTTCTAGACATTTTTATCGCAGCTTGCTTCTAACCAATTGCGTCCAATTTTGCCCTAAACTTTTGCATAGTCATAGCAAATGTGTGCATGTATGCGTGCGCCTATATTAGTTGTAACTTTCTAACATAATTTCTCCATTGATGGTATACGATAAACAAATATCGTGCTTGGCTGCATCATCGCAGGCTATTTAGCTGATCCAGACGGTTTTAGGTTCACTATTACGACATTTGTCGTGCCTATCAGTGTCCATTTGGTTGCTCTTAACGCTATTGTAATTACCGGTGAACGGCTACATGCTTAAAAGGAAGAGAGTGCATGCATGAAAAAAACATGCAAGACATGCTTGTTCCTGGATTTTTATATTTGCTGGCAGTGAAAGTATTATTCTAGCAAAAGGTAATCAAGAATTTATTTGCTAAACAGCAGCAAAATGCGCTGCTTTTTCGCTATTATCGGTTTAGTTATATAAAAGTGACACTTAAATGACTTTTAGACAAGTGATATCCATTTTCACACAATAATATTGATGTGCATTTAATCGCAATCTATTTCAATTTCGCGTAGGATTCAAAATATTTATTGCCTTGGCAGTCAAAATAATTTTCAAATTAATGACAAGAGCTGGGCCGTAATGTTGGCATGCTTGTGTAATTCATGGTATGCAGCAAATGTTTGTTTCTTCTCACGCGTTGTTTACAACGCTTTTTTCTCACACCTGTTCTACAGATTTAAATCACCGACAGCTGACTTGACTTCTGTCGCATTGAAAATTATACCGCTGTAATTCTCTAATTATTTGTGCATTTTATTAAATGCTTTTCCTTTTTTTCTTTGAATTTTATTTTTAACATGTAATATTTATTTGTCCCAGAGATTTAAAAAAAAAATATTTTTTTTATTTATTTTTTGATCGGGCTAAAGTATCGCTTAAGTTCTTTAATGATCATCTAATCAATCAAGTATGGACTTTATTCAAAATTCGAGTTCTCCGAGAGAGATTTTTGATTCTTATCAGAAAAAATCTCTTAATGGGTGAAAAATTCATTTACTTCTCATTTATCGTTCCCTGCCGAAAGGAATTAAAATACGATTTCTTCATTAAAGCTACTCACAGTTAAATTTATTTATTAAGCTTTGTTATTGAGTTGGCAAAAAAGCAATTTCGAGTGTTTGCATTTCCTTCTGCAGAGCTTTGTTATTCTGCTCTTACAGTTCAGAAATACTACCTAAAGCATTGCTGCCTTCAACTCGTCAACTTACAATACCATTTTCACGTTTTGCATGATAAGATGATAGTAATAAAATACTGAAAGTCTCCTTAGAGAGAGCTTTCGAGCGCTATTCATTTTCTCTTGACCCACTCTGCTCGTGGAACACTCATATTCCTAAGAATTGGATATGAAATTGATTTGCTTTTCATCCGTGCTCGGCTTAACGTTTTAATGACATTATGTTTGGAATGAATCGTTTATGCATAGACTCAATTGTATATATATTATAGTCTTTCTTTAGTTCGGGAAACAGGTTACATCATATTTTAAACGCCTTGTATCAAAGGCCACTAATGCTTGCTGTACTTTTGCGATTCAAATAATTCCGTTGAAGGCACAAAACGATTTGATGATGGAACAGTTAAGAACACCTTAAAGGAGAAATTGTATTGAGCTTGCTATGGATATGTTTAACACTAATCACTAATCCCTTGTCACTTTTGATATGTTATAATGACAAAACACATCGTAGGCTATATTCTCTACATGACACTTGTCTATGTGTACTTATAGCATTCATAACTGATTACTTGACAAGAAAATGAAAGAAGAATTCGTCATCGTGCACGATAGGATAGATTAAATAATACGTTTATGTCATTTTTCAATATAAGCAACAAACCATACTTAATATAATCTATCGTGTAATAAGATATAAGAGAGATAAGAGAGAGACAGTTTGCCTAAAATGACTGGGTGGATTATCGAATGAAACTAAAAGAAAATGTTTCCATCAAGGTCAAGTCTTAACTGCCTCTTTGACAGCAATTTCGAAGCTTATAACCAACTATGGATTATACACATTCCACAAATGAATGGATGGATACTGATGAAACGGGTATTCCGCTATCATTCAAGCAAAGTTATCATCCTTTCCGCCTGTATGTACAACAATGACAACATTAACGGCAACTAGGTTGTTTTGATGTTATGGCAAATAAGCTAACTCAATGGGCCCTATTAGTCTCAATTCATATCTAGATTTTGCGAGAAGTACTTAAAGCGAGTTGGAAAAAAGAAAAAACGAAAGAATTTCTTTCCCCAAAATTTCAATTTAAAAACTTGATCTTTAAGAAGGAATTCATAATAAATTTAATGCTTTTTTTATATGTATGCATCTATGGATGTGCGAAAAGTATATCTATATATATATATATATATATATATATATATAGTTTTTTATTCTCTACTTATGAACAACAATACACTGTCGCTTCACCATAAAACACAATATAATCGAGTGCTTGCCAAGGAAAAAAAGCTTGGTTTCTGGTAATTTTTTTTGTTTGCAGGACAAGTGAATGCAGTTTGTCGTATGTGTAAATACTTAACCGTCTTGTACATGCAGTCGCAGCGATTTCGTACCACATGTACAATAAAAGCCAGTAATTCTAGGAATTCATGCACGTAACATACGTAACGCATAGCATTCATTATAGGCGAACAGTTTAGGTCACATTTGCTGTTAAAGCTACATGTGACTTAAGTTACTCTTTAAAAACGTCTGTATATAAAATTTGTCCTCATCTTTAGGTATGACATAGACATACCTGTTTAAAGCCGTTCGTAGTCATTCGAAAACCTTCGAAAATGATCTCAACATTTTATTTCAACAAATAAGCAAAGCAAAGAAATTCATAACCAACATGAGAGCGATTTCGTTAAACCTCAAATCACTTGAAACAAATTTAAGAAAATAATTGGTGCGCAACGATAAAACAACGATAACAGAGACTTGAGAAGCGAGAAATATTTCGATAGGTGAGATCTTAAGTTATTATTGGACATAGGTAGATTTTATATGAATTTTGCTTCAATTTATGAGCGAATGTAGCCTACATTTAGCATTTTGTATGAGCAAGTGAATCATAAGAGCACTTATCTTACGAGTTGAAGTTTTGTTGAAAAGATCTACCGATAGACAGGCCAGTCATCACTGTTGGTCTCCAAAATCACTTTTTTTATGTTCTTTTACAAAACGGACGATATGTGCACACCACCTCTGCGAACACGATCTATTGTTAAACTTGTGAAGATAACACTTTGAATTTTTGTCGAAACACTCATACAATTTAATTTCTCAAACGTTTGTGGTATAAAGTAAAGGAATTTTTATAATAATATTTGTCCTTCTTGCACTCCGAACAACATCATCTTCAATTGTCTGTAAATCAAATAAAGACAAAGCAACAAATTTCAAACTGCAGTGTGACCATCGTGAATGACACGTTTACTATGAAGACTGTTATCTCTG